GCGCATCGCGGCAGCGAGGTGACACCGAATTATAGGGCATTCCCCCCCTCTCTGCACGTATCCCCAGAGGAGCAGCTGCTCTGTTCGGTAGTTTTCCGTGGTTTCTTCGATCAACACCAGACGATTGCCGGAGTAGTACCCTATCAAACGGGCCATGGGCCGCGCGCGATCCTTCCTTCCTCTTCCTTGTCCTATCCTCACCCCCTTATTCACACACATTTGCTTGCACCATACTACCACACATGCCGGAAGACAGATCAGGAACTTAGAGCTTGTTCCGGCTGGGGCGGTACCCCGCTGGTGGGAGATACCTGGGAGGGGAAAACCCCGCTAGCAGACAGTAGGTCAGCGCCGGATCTCACCATCGAGCTGGGGAAGATCACCGTCACCTCCTGCGATAAAATGCTTGCACTACACCTACGGGACTAATGACAATAGCAGTTGACGCTCCAGGAATCATCAATTGATCAGTCAATATGGAGTTAGTGTTTTATTGCGGGAGGTGGTGGTGGCGGCACCGACTTACAGCGCAGTTTCCTTTCCAGGTATCTCCTCAGCGGAGCACTGTGCCTCACGGGATGTACTTGTAAGATACTATAGGGCATGTCAGTGCAAGTAATGTAAAGGGAAAGAATTGGACACGGAAGAAAGGAAAAAAAAGACCGTGGGGTCCGTAACCGATTTTGTTGGGGTACTGTTTCACACTGATCGGAGAAAGTAAGGAAAATTACCGGTCAGAGAAGTTGGTAACTAGAATTGTCGTGCAGGCAGCGGTTGAAATCGACCTAGCTGCTTACCTAATGTCGAAAATGTGTTACAGTGGGGACTCGAACCCTATCACCTCCCAGTGACTGTCGCAGAGACAACGTTAATACGTTGATCTTACAGTGCGACCGAGGGAAATTACCAGACAATATTTATGGGTTAAACAAAAAAAGATGACGGTTTTGTTTGACCAATACCATTCAGGATCCCGGAAAAAAATCCTGGGGTCAACCGCGCAACCCAGAACATACTGAAAAATAATTATTTTTTTTTATTTAAGATCAATTTTTGTATTAGGTAATATGTATTATACCTCATGTTCCACATATTGTCTCCAAACACGTGTGTAAATAGATTCGGGGTTTGAGACATGACAAAGGCATTTTATTTTCTGAACACTGTACATTCGCTGCTTTCCACGGCGGCACAAATGGCCACACCATTATTATCGAAGAAATATGGCATTCTTCGGAAGTTACGGTATTTTGTCATTAGACAAAAGCGGATTTTCCTATACTGTGACGAGCGAATCGCCGCAGGAGAGGAGGAGGAGGTAGAGAATGAGGACGTGGATAGATTGACAAGTGTTTCAGGCCCATCAACTGCTAAGGCCTTCAGTACCGTAAGCGTCGTGCATGCTTTTTTTCGAAAGGTGGAGGGGATCTCCCGCTAGATTACGAGATCCGGCGCCGACCTGGACGTAGGCGTGCAATGTTTTCCCCAACTAGGCATCTCACACCAAACGGGCACTGTCCCAGCCGGGACAAGTTCTAAGCTCCTAACATGTATGGTAGAGTAGTGTGTGTGTGTGGGGGTGGGGTAAGGACAAGGAGGAATGAGAATAGTTCGCACGTATTCCACGGCATCTTTGTTAGCATTCGCCTTGTGTTGATGAGGGAAACCACGGAAAACTACCGATCAGAGCAGCCGGCCACAAGAATTCTCCTCCAGACAGAGGCTCAACTCGTCCCGGCTGTCTAGCTATTGTCGAAAATCGGGACTCGAATGGTGGGGCCTCCAGGTCAGAGGCATCAGTTGAAGCCCTGAGGCTCGTAAGTTCGTAGAAAGGGAGAAGAGGCTGTGACTCACCTGAGTGCATGTCGCCGTCTTCGAGCGCCAGGTCGAGGTTCTCTGTGAAGCCTTCCTCGAAGGCAATGGGCGCTGCCAGCACCGCTGTCCCCGCGCTCACCTCCTGCGCGACAATAAGGTCTTATTGCACGTAGCAAGACGCCTGCCATTACGTCTGTCTATGAAAACCTCGCTACGCTCCTTTTCCCGTCTAGCAGAGAAAGGTCTCACTCGGGTAACGAAACAGGCAATTGAATTTAGCTAGAGGCTTGTTTAAGGCTTTAGTATATTTTAAATGCAGTAAATCTACAACATGGGACAGCCGGCGTTACTTTCCATCCGAAGGAAGGACTTTCTTTGCCCTTAAATATTCACACTCCGCACTTGGATACCGCATGTTGCGCACCTCGTCCGCTGCTTATCGCTCCGCAGTACGTCGTCTGTGAGCAGTGATAAGAAGTGCCCCAACGGGGCCGAGTTACGGCCGTTCAGCAAACGAATGACTTAGAGAAGGGAGAAGATTAAAACTAGACACTGTAAACTAAGCCAGGTATACTTAATAGAAAGAAATACATCCCCTATATGTGATCACTGTAATATTCCTATTAATATATCCCGTATCATTAACCAATGTCTCAATAACGATCAATCAAGACAATAACACCTACAGAATCTGAGTGCGGAGTCAATTCTTTCATCTATAGATTACCAAGACTATTCCACTTGTGAAATTAAAACCAATAGTGTTAAATACATTCAAAACCAATAGTGTTATATACATACAAAATGCCCCAATCAGTGCGGCGTATCGCAAAAGGTATATCGTTTTCTCAATCCTATTTTTCTTACTGCTTCTATTTACTGGCCAATCATAAACTGTAACTCATCCATCTTAGGTGGCGATGTACATCGATCGCTATGTCCATGTCCAATAAACAGAGTTTGCACTATAACATAACCTCTGATTTTAACATACTCTTTCATTAATTTTCATTTTTTTTATTAAATACCACTCGTGCGTTGGAAATTCTCAGATAAATTCTCGACTCGCGAAGCAGTGTCTCGCTGAACATGAGAATGATGTCCTAACTTTGGTTTCGAGAAATCGCGGATTAACATGATCATACCTTTGCGTTTTCGCTCAAAATGGAGACAGTTTTGTTGTTTTTGAATTCCCCCCCCCCGAGTTTCTGGATGTCTAAAGAAGCCATTGACTCACGTACGGGGCCAAAGCCTGCTTAGTTTTTCATCGTATATTTTATGCGTATAATAGAAATTAGTAGTATAGGCAGTTGTATGAAAGTAACTCACCTCGGCCTCGAGCACTTTGGCAGTGTAGAGCGCCCGCTGGAAGCGCGGGCTGAACACGGAGTTTTCCAGGTCGGGAGTGAAGGTGACTCGCACTGGCGACTCCTGAATCACCGTCGGCTCGTTGCTCGTCCCCAGGTCCTGGGCACAACCCGCGCTGTCTACAACTGTGCCTCACGCGTTTCATGCGTGTGTGTGTGTGTGTGACGTATTCCGGTCTGCCGGTGAAAAAGAATTGATCGTTTCATGTTCATGTACTTCAACTGCTGCGGTCATTAATGCCGTTAGTGTAGTGAATGTTTTTATACCTGGAAGTGGCGGTGCTCTTCCCCGCTGGATGGTGAGCTTCAGCGCCGACCTACATGTCGCCTTGTGGGAATATTTGCCCCCACGTATCTGCCCCCAGTGGGGATCCACCCAAGCCGGGATAAGTTCTTAGTTCCCAACTGTTCCCTGTTCCCACCACGTAAACGGTAGTGGATGGCGAGATCCGGCGCGGAACTACACGTTGGCGGGTATTTCTCCAAAGAGGGATATCCTCCATCACAGAAGCATCACTCCAGCTGGGAAAAGTTCTGAGCTCCCGACTGATATCCCGATGTGTGTGAGTAGGAAAAATTGGGAAAAAGAAGAGGAAGGAAAGATCGCGCGCGGTCCGTAGCTCGTTTGATAGGGTATGGCTGCATTCGCCTGGTATTGGTCGAAAATAATAAATCAACGGAAAACTACCGATCAGAGCAACCGCCTTCAGCAATTCTCCCCAATTTACCTAGCTATATAGCTAGGGTCGAAAGTCCGTCACTGTTGACCCCAGGTCAGAGTCGCTGCAGGGGCAATAGCAGTAGCTCTGAGTTTTACTCAACCGGTTTAATTCCTTTTATCTGTCACAAAATACATTTTACGGCAACATAGTCATACCAAGAACCATAAATGTGAACACATCTTACAAAGAAAATTGAAAGAATGCGGAATAAATGTATGAATATTGTTTAATGTTTAACTCGGTTGAGTTATGTAGTTTCCTTCACTTAAGATATTTGGGTGGGAAAATATATTTTTAGACAGCTACTACAAAAAGTGGTTCTTTCAGGGCATGTCTATCCGTACAATTTTAAGCACTAGTTCTAGACGTGAAAAAATGTTTAAGTGTTCTGATAAATCTGTGAATGCAACAAAGAAAACAAAATACTTTCGTCTGACCGGAAGGACCGAAATAAACAGAAAGACAAAAGGACAAAGACAAAAGGAACAAAAAGTCAGTAATGCTGACTAAAAATAGTGTATGACACACGTGTGCTTTTATTTTGCACGTAAGATTGCGCCACTTGGCGTATCGTCCTCGCAACCTTTTCATCTTGCAAAATAAAAAAAATGTTACTTTTACCCTATGTATCATAACTATTTAAATTTACATTGCTTATTGAAATTTTAATAAATAAAAATATTATGTGTTTGCGAGTGTGTGGAGTGGGAGGGCGTGCTCTTAAGTCGTTTCAACGTTAACAATGATTCAACATTAAAAAATAAATAAAATAAAAGTCAATATGTAAATAAATATATAAATCATAATATAAAACTGAGATTTTGTTGGCATTGTTTTAGGAAGGTGCCAACAATTGATTAAATCCTTAGTATTAGATGCGAATTTACATACAACAATGAATCACTGGAACTTCGAAGAGAAGAGGGAGGAGAATGAGAGTAGAAAGGGGAAACGAAGGAGGTGACGCAGAAGAATAAAAAAAGAGAACAAGAACGAAAATAATGAAGAAGAATACAAATAATAATACTTAAGTACAAGGATAAAGAGGGGAATTTAGAAAGAGTAACATGGAAACTGCGGGGGCGCGGGAGCTCACCTTGATGCGCAACGTGAAGGCGACGGGCTCCTTGACGCGTATCTCCATGGCGCTGCTCAGAGTGACGGTGAAGCCGCGGTTGACGACGGCGGAGGCGCGCGCGCTGAAGAGGCCTTGGTACTGCGCGTTGTCCACCTCCACCGACACCTCCACGCCGCGCCCGGTCATGTCGTAGTCGAAGCCCGGCACGTCCAACAGGAACGTCCCAGCCGGCACGGGCACCGGCAGCGACAGCGCGTAGCTGGACTGCGTCGCGTCGGGCTTCCAGTTGTTCGAGTCGAACATCATCAGGTCCAGTTGCTACGGACAGCACAAGCACACGCGCGGCGCCCGGCGCTCAGCCCAATCCTCAGCCGCGCCCTCAGCCCCACTCTGCGCCGTCTCACAGCAACGGCCTTAGCCCTGCCCTCAGCCCCACCCTCAGCTGCGCCCTTAATCAAGATTGCAGCTCCGCCCTCGGCCCAGCACTCCATCCCGCCACCAGGCCCGTCTTTTTCAATAGGTCCTAACCACTCCCTCGGCTCCGTCGTGGTCTATTCTCTGAGCCCCTAACGATAGCCCAACCATCAGCTCTGCTCTCAGCGACGCTCTCTACCACGCTCTCAGTGACGCCCAAAGCCTTGCCCTGCGCCCCCCCCTGACAGCACCGCGCTCAGTCATGTCATAAGCCAAGCTCTCAAAGTAGCCCTCAGTCCCGACATCAACCATGTCTTCAGTCCCGCTCTCATACGTCCTCAACCTCGCTCTTAATCAAGATATGATCCCCGCCTTCTGAAAAGTTCTCAGCCACTACCTTAGCGCTGTCGTGAACCACACTCTGAGTCCAGCCGTCAGTCCAGCTGCCAGCCCTGCTCTCAGCCACGCCCTCATCCCCTGCCCCGTCTTCAGTCTCACCCTTAGTAATTCGTTCCCTCAGCCGAGGTAACTTCCTCGTCTTGTCATGCCCTGCACCGTCCTCAGCCCGCACTGAGCTCCGTCCTCTGCCCCGCCCTTAGCCACGCTCTCAGCCACGCCTTCAACCACGCTCTTACCATGCCGTGCGCCTCTCCCTCAAGCAAGGAGTCAGCAAGGCCTTCATTCACGGTCTCAGCCACACCCTCAGTAATTCTCTCAGTCAACGCGTGTACCGCGCCCTGCGCCACGCCCTTGCCATCCCTACATCCAGTTCTCAGCCCTGGCCTCAGCTCTGCCCAGGATCAGTAACACTTTCAACCACGCCCTCAGCCACTCCCTCAGCAAGAAAGAGGTTTCGATGCGCGAACCATTAAATGATATTATATAACCACATGACTAATGTCATGTGAATTGTTAAAAGAGATTTCGCACATCATGCTCTTTATGGAAGTAATTTCGTTGATTCTCATTTATTCCATTATACCAAGTCAACAAAAACAGAACTCTATAAATGATAGTATAGTTATTATATCATTAAAGAAATATAATTAAGTAATAAAATAATACTGTGTAATCAGATAATTATTTAAACAGATTAATGACTCCAATTTGATTTTGCAGTATGTGCAGTGGTACAGAGAGTATTGTCACGTTATATCCAGTAGCCAGGAGAGTTCGGACTGGAAGGTAGTGTATGCTTTGGAAACTACTATTCTATCAAGAACCCAATATTAATATCCTCAATTGTTACATTTCTCTCCAACTAAATATTAAAAGATGATATTAAAGGTCGACGGATAGGCCACTCTCGGTATCTATGAACTATAGAAATATAAAGTTAGCAGCATACACTGCCTTCACAGTTGGGAACTATTTCAATTTAGCGAGATCTGATGTGTTTAATGTGCGACCCAAAACACTTGATTACACTCGCTAATTATAGAAGAATAACGTTTCCGCTTTTATTTAAACGTTTCACGTAGGGATTCGCACATGCGCATTGGTTCAAAACTGCATTAATAGCGCATACGCTAAGATGCTTCATACACACACATTCTATTTAAATGAAAAATAACGTGCATTAAATTAACAAGCTTTTATGAATGCTTTTGAATTCTTAGACCTCATTTTGCGTATTAGGTACGTAATAAACACTACATTTTATTTTGTATAAAATACTACCACAACTTCAAACTCTCCTTTTATTCATGTTTTCCGTGCATGCAACGTTGTGTTTTTCAGCATCCATGGTTCCAAGAAAGATAGCGCAATTGGCGCGTTATTAAGGCATGCGGGCATCATAGTGGTTTCTAGGTGGAAGTCCAACTTACCAGTTTTCTTATGCTCGTTGTTGATCCACAGCCTATCTCTAAAACCACGAAGACAGCCTGAAAAAAAGTATTATTGGTTAACTCTACGAACGTACGTAAGGATGCGATATGACTACTGTGGCAATGTTATATCCTTTCCCTCTAGGAGTTTCTTAAAACGTATCATCGAAAATTTATTGATCAGTTTCGATTTCAAAGGACCGCGAACCTGGCAAATCAATAAAGAATTATCCATTTTGGTGAACATTTGGTGCGCGGTTTACGCTAGTTTTGTTGAAAATGGAAGTTTGGAAAAATAAAAATCATGATCGATTTATTGAAGTGATTCCAATACTTTTCCTCTCTATACGTACTATAGACTAAGGAGAAAAAGTAACAAGTTTCGGAAAAAAACATCGTGTCAAAATGTTAGGCGAAACGTCTGATGTTGAATTTTGTTATTTTAGAACCTGCGCGAGATCAACCGCGCTTCTAGGTTGGCTTACTAGCCGGCATTGTGTCTTGTTCAGCTCCATTTTCTGATGTCGCTTCGGACGGCTGCCATATAGCCATAGTCGTGTACCGCCGAGGGACGGCCGTGGGGCTCTCAGAAGGGGTCGAAAAATATCGGTCATTCACTTGTCTATCATATTTTTAATTAAGGTTCTCTACAAGGTTTCTAGTTGATGGCCGTATTTTTATTTTTTTCTTCCATTTCTTTAGTATTGAGAGAAAAAGTACTAGAATCACTACTACAAACCGATTTCTAATTTTTGTTTAAAAGTCAAAACTTAAGGTTCTTTGAGCTATGTCTTTGCACACACGATAAACTATTTGCTCTGTTCCAAAGGTGGTTAAAACTGAGTTGTCTGAATGTTTGGTGGGATGGTCAAGCATAAGGCTGCCACATAAGAAGCTATTGAGCTGAACCTTAGAAAATACACAGGATTAAGACTGTTGACTACTTTTTCTTGAAATGTTTGGCCCGAACAGATGAGTGTGCATTTATAAGTATGGTATACTTTCGACTATCATTACAACTTGTGTTTTTTAGACAATTGTAAAAAGTTTTATATGAGGGAGAGACGAAGAGAGAAGGAGAGACAAAGAGAGAAGGAGAGACGAAGAACAAAAAAAAAAAACGCAGAAAGGGGGAAAAGAATTTTTATAAGGGGTTTTTTTATTGTAAAAAAAAATCATTTAAAAAGAAAAACTTAATAAAATTAAAAGTAAATAAAATAATACTGTGTAATTCAGAATAAATTAATCTAAACAGATAATGACTCACCAATTTTGATTTTTGCAGTAAATGTGCAGTGTGGCAGAGAGTAATTTTGTCCAGTTATATCCAGTAAGCCAGGAAGAGTTCCGGAACCTGGAAGGGTAGTGTAAATGCTTTTGGACTACTATCTTCTAAATCAAGACCCAATATTAATATCACTCAATTGTTTACAATTTCTCTCCAAACTAAATATTTAAAAGAATATATTAAAGGTCGACGAAATTAGGCACTCCTCGGTATCTATGAACATTAAATGATAAAATTAGTCAGCATACACTGCCGTCTTCCACAGTTGGAACTATCTTCAATTTAGACGAGATCTTGACTGTTTAAATACGTGCGCCCAAAACACTTGATTACATTCGCTAATTATAGAAGAATAACACGTTTTCCGCTTTAGTTAGAACGTTTCACGTAGCGGATTCGCACACTGCGCCATTGGTTCAAAACTGCGATTAGAATAGTGGCATCACGCTAAGATGCTTACATACACACACATTCTATTTAAATGAAAAATAACGTTGCATGTAAGATTAACAAGCTTTTAATGAATGCTTTTGAGTTTCTAAGACCCATTATTGCGTATTGGTAGTCGAAAACTACATTTTACTTTTAGTTAAGAATATACGCAAATCACAATTCAAACGTTGTGTTTTTACAATAGCATCGTCCATGCCCGTACCACAAGAAAATGGATAGCGCTCAGATATTGGACACGCGGTTATTATAGAACGTATGCGGGCACATAGTGGTTTCTAGGCTGAAATCCTAACACTTACCAGTTTTTACTTATGCTCCGTTGTTGATCCACCCAGCCGTGAATCTCTAAAACCTATAGACCAGCACTGAAAAAAAATATTTTTTGTTTACAAAAGTATATGTGTGTTAAACTCTACCGAACGTACGTGAGGATGTGATGATACTACTGTGGGCAATGTTATATGTTATCCTCTAGAATTTCTTAAAACGTAATCATCACGAAAATTTATTGATCAGTTTCGATTTCCAAACACGCGCAAACCTGGCATATCAATAAAGAATTATCATTTTGTGGATCGTATTATGTTGGCTGACGCCGGTTTTACGGCATAAGTTCTTGTACTGAAAATGGTAAATTTCTAGATGGAGGCAACTGAAAAAATACAAATCATGATAGTCAATTTATTGAAGTGATTCCAATACTTTTCCTCTCTTATACTACTATAAAGACTAAGGAGAAAAAGTAACAAGTTTCGGAAAAAAACATCGTTGTGCCAAAATGTTAGGCGAAACGTCTGATGTTGAATTTTGTGATTATTAGAACTGCGCGAGATCAACCGCGGTTCTAGTCTGCGCTTACCTAGCCGGCATTGTGCCTTGTTTCAGCTCACATTTCTGATTGTCCGCTTCGGACGGCTGCCATATAGCCTATAGTCGTGTACCGCCGAGGACTTGGTCCGTTGGGGCTCTCAGAGGGGCTCGAAAAATATACGGTCACGTGTCACTTGATGCGTATCATATTTTTGAATTAACGTTCTCTACAAGGTTTCTAGTGATGGCCGTAGTATGTTTTATTTTTTTTTCCGAATTTCTTTAGCTATTCAGAGGAGAAAAGTATTAGAATCACGTTGCTCAACAGCCCTTCTAATTTATGTATTAAAAGTCAAAACTTAATGGTTCTTTGAGGGCTATTTTTTGTTTTATATTCTTGGCCCACACCCCCACCGGATAAAACTATTTTGCTCTGTTCCAAAGTGGTGGTATAAAACTGAGGTTGTCTGAATGTTCTGGATGGGATGGTCAAGCATAAGGCTGCCACAATAAGAAGCTATTCAGCTGGAACCTGAGCAAGAAATACACAGATTATAGCAAGAATGCTGTTGACTACTTTTTCTTGAAATGTTTGACCCGAACAGTATGAGTTGTGCATTATATAAGTATGTATACTTTCACCTATCATTTACAGACTTCTGTTTTTAGACAAGTTTGTAAAAAAGTTTATATGAGGGAGAGACGAAGAGAGAAGGAGAAGAACACAAGATGAAGAAGGAGACGAAGAGAAGAGAGACGAACGAGAGAAGGAGAGGTTAGAGACGAGAGAGGAGAGAGGAGAGGAGAGAGAGGAGAGACGGAGGAGGAGAGAGGGAAGAGAGGGGACGGAGAT